AGCATTAGACATGCTCCTAACACATGTCAGGTCAACGCATATACACTGAGTGGCCAGATTATTATGACCACCTGACGTTTGAAGGCAAATTAGCTATAATTAGCTATAATTTTGTGCTGAAGTTGCTGGGGGGCCAGACAATTATAAATAGTGAAGCAGGTTGTTTACCACGGCAGTGGTAAACAACGTGATTTAACAGCCTTTGAACGTGGGATGATTGTTGGCGCTCGGAGCCATGGAGCGAGTATCAGCAAAACAGCAGAATTCGTTAAATGTTCAAGAGCAGCTGTTGTTAAAGTGTTTAAAGACTGGACTGTCAGCCCAAAGTCTGGGTCTGAAGGTGCGAATTGTGACCGTCAGCGACTAGTCAATGTTAGGGCAGAATGGAGAGTGGCAAGCCTGGTACAAGACAACAGAAGGGCAACAGTGCAGTGTCAGATTCCTCGCATCACCTTTCAACATCTTGTGGAGTCACGAGGCGGCCCAACAAAGTAATCTCGTGGAGTAACCTCGTGGCGAAGTACTGATGGGGTGGTCATAATAATCTGGCCACTCAGTGTATAGACCAACAGTTTTTACCTATATGTTTCTCACTAACCTTTGACTGATAGCCTTTTAGACACTAAAATTGTGCTGAATGTGACCATATGGTATATGGAGCATCTTGTTGTTTGCTAATAACATTGGATACTCCCATGCACATTTTTATACAGATGTACATTTCTAAATTCCTTACATCGGACAGAACATTTTGAGCCTTTTCTTGAACTGAAGAACTCCAATAAAGCTATTTGACTGCTTATTAATCGCTAACTAAATGCTTTGTAAGCATCTGAATAGCATTTGAGTAGCATCCTTATTGATTTGTATTCTGCTCCAAAAGTTTCTCTACACATTAGGGAACATTGCATTTTTTTTAATGGCACACAAACTGAATGCCATATCAGAACATTATTGCCAGCACCTGCATTCTCCCACATAATACACAATTCAGGTGAGTTTGCTGCAGAGCCACATTTGGCTTCAGTAATGCTTAAGGTGCCCATACACTGCTCGATTCTCGTACGAGAATGGGGCGAAATCCCGCGATCGTACGAGAATCGAGCAGTGTGAACTAAGACATGCGACCGTTTCTACTGTACGGTCGCACGTCTTTTGTCGAGCCAACATGTTCGAAAACCCGCCGAGAATCGTACGATTCTCGTCGGGTTTCTAGCCTGCTCGTCCGATAGCTGTGAAACGGGCCGGTGTGCACACGCGCACACTGCCCGTTCTGCATTGCCGTCATCGGAAGCCCGCCCCTCAGCGGGGCGGGCTTTCGATGATCGCAAGTACGATCTGCCCATCCAAGGTGGGCAGATCGTACTGGCTTTCAAGAAGCATACGACCATCGCAAGACAAAAGTCTTGCGATGGTCGTAAGGTGTATGGGCACCTTACGGATGCAATTTGTAAATGTTTTTTTTAACAACAGGAGTGGGGATTTATCAAAACTGGAGCAGTTGCCCATGGCAACCAATCAGCTTCTCCCTTCAGTTTGTTCAGTTAAGATTTGAAAATGAAAGAGAGAGGCTGATTGGTTGCCATGCACAGCTGCTCCAGATTTTTTCTGCTCATGTTTTGATAAATTTCCTTCAGTGTGAGGGAATACATTCGCTCATCTGTCCACAAATCCAACTGGCATGCTTGCCAATCTATTGCAACAGATTGCAGTACCAATTCACATACCTTACTGTTTTACAGTCAGTAGCAATTTACTACTACTATTAAGGGAGCACATGTATCTCAACACTAGCACTGAGTATTTATTTTCTCATAGCTAATGTTTCAGTACAAGCCTATAGTACTATCATTAAGGTATTGGCTGCTAGTAAAACAGAAGTGGCCAGACACAAAATTAATTATCTTACCATTAAGTCACTTCAATTTGTAATTATGTATCTATGACATAGTACTAAGACTTCTTTTAAACTGCTTTTGTGTGAAACTAAAGCCGCATGACATATGGTTGTGGGCTTAGCAGTGTCCATTTCTAAGAAACACCATTTCTCATAGAACACTTTGGCCTGTATTTTTGCTGGCTTAGATTTACAAAAATCCAGACAGTAAGCATAATGGCCACCACCGTGATTTAGTGAGCAGGGGACTGTGTGGCAGGCAATCTATGTTGTCTACTGTTACATTTCCATTTGCTACTAGGGTTACCTACTATTTCTATACAAGTGTAAACTTTCTGAAAATGTTAACTTTAAAAAAGTTACACACATCCTTTCCTTGCCTCGCCTCACCCGGCCCCAATCTCTGAACTGTGGGAGTCAGAAGGGAATGTCACATGTTCCATCATACCAGAAAGTACTAAGTTTTCCCCAGAGGCTCTGGTATTATAATGGTTAAACTGCCAGTTTTTTAAAGTGAACCTATACTTTAAAGCAAATTTCTCAAAATCACAATGCTGCCGCTGGATTTGTCAGGACCTATAAGGATCCTGCCGTTGGACAGCCAATGTGAAGTACACCAGCAGGCAGCAACATGGACACCTGAAAGGGATACCCTCAAAGTAGAACACCTGAAAGGACTTTGAAATAGACACATCAAGTGACCACAGATTTACGTGAGTATTTGGTGCATTTACAGTGGGATGCAGAAATTAGCAAGAGGGGGTGAAGGTCTTTTCTGGGGAAGAGGGGCTAGCCAAGTATTCACTAAATGTAATAATATTATACGTTTTGGTTACTGTTTTAAAAACCTTGTTTCCATACAGTTTATAATTATTAGGGATGCAACTATACCGTTTTTTCGGTGTTGAGTCGGGATGCACCGATACCACTTTTTTAAGGCCGAGTACGAGTAAAGAAGAGGTCAGAATGGAGCAGATGACAGAGGAGGTTGCGGCCATCTTGCTTGATTGAAGACGCGATGGAGGTCCTGTGTGCGGCGGATCCGGGTCCCTGAAGATGGCGGACGCGGCACAGGTACTCGTTTTATGTTTTGGAGTATTTGCACGATGCTTGTATCGGTATCGGTGCATCCCTAGTGTTGAGTATGAGTACCGATATTTATATTTCGGAACTTGCCGATACCGAGTACCGATACTTCCGCTAGCATGGTTCCAGCTTCCTGGGCAATCAAGGAGCCAGGCGGCAGGTAATGACACGCTGCCCAGCTGCTTTATTGTCGGGGAAGCCGACTCCATGCTATTTGGCCGGCTCCATGCTGATTGGCCAGGAAGCCGGCTCTATGTTCCCTCACGGCACTGGCGGTCAGAGGAAATCTCCATCTGACCGGAAGTTCCAGTATCGGGAATATGTATCGGAGCATTTGGGTGAGTACAAGTTCTTGGCCAGATACTCGGTAACAGCATCGATACTGATACAAGTATCAGCGCATCCCTAACAATTATATATGTATGTTAGGCGATGCCAAATACGCTCATGTGATCTAGACCAGGCCTTCTTAAACTTTCTCCACTCGTGACCCCTTTTTGGCCGAGGACATTTTTAAGGGACCCCAACATCGGTCAGTGTCTCCCCCCTCCCCTAGCGTAAGTCGGGTCTCTCTCCTCCTCTCCCCCCCAGGCCCAGTCAGTGTCTCTCTCCTCTTCTCCCCCCCCCC